AAATCCTAGAGGAAACACTGTAATGGCTTTTAAAAAGGTAGCAGTTCCATTTTTACTTTACTAATATCTCCAACACAGTCACCCCAATTTTTCTAATTTTTTGTCATTTCTACATTAACATGTTTTTAATTACTGAAAGGAAAAAATATATATATGAGATAGGCTCCCTTTCTCTCAGCTTCTGTGTGTCATTGGACGTGTTTGACTGTCAGCAGAGCCAGCAGGCTCTGGCATGGAGAGACAAAGTAAACAAAGTTAAACTAGTAACTGTCGCTTACAAGTAGAATAATAGTCAGTGTTTTGTTAGCAGGGTGGTTAAAGAAGGTCAACATTATTTAGCAGACTGATGTTGACAGTCGCAGGTTAAGTGTTTACGCTGTTTAATGAGCTACAGCTGACCTGCTTATTACCTTCTGGTTTAGCACAATCCTAAAACTCCAAAATGTAAATTCTTCCGTAGTGGCTGTGTCTTATCTCATCTACCTCTGTGAATTGAGGGTTTATCTCAACCAAAGCAGAGTCTGTGATTGTTGGAACAGTGGAAAGACTAACAAAGACTGTTTTGTTGAGTTTTATTTTGTTTCTGTCCACTTCAAATAAAGCTATGATGTAAAATTACAGTTTTTTTCCTATGGAGTCCTGAGTCCAGTCCTGCCCATGTATCTGGTTAAACTAAAGTTTTATCTCTGTAGGGATCCGTTCCATAATGCTGTCAGACACTTAGAATATCAATCTGAGCCTGTCAGTGGCAAAAACAACAACTTTTAGTGCACATACTGTGACAGGCGCATTTACATCGCATCGTCATTTCACAGCCACCGTCTGAGGCATACAGCCAGGATATTTTCACCTAAAACTCGAATTTAGGATTTATTTTAACAAAACTGGCATTGATGATTGTTAGAACAGTGGAAAAAAAATATTTTGTTTCTGTCCAGTTTGCATGTTTTTTATTTTAAGCAAAAAATGTTACCTAGAAGTAAGTAATTTTAGTACAACCAAAATGATTATCATACAATGAAAGTAAATAAGGAAAATATGATGAAAGAAAGATAAAATGTAGTATAAAAATACATTAATAATATAATATAATAATAAATAAAATCTCAAGCTTTGGTGCTGTTCTGTCAATTTTACCTGACATTTTCAATAAATCTCTAGATTGTTATAGCCCCCCCCCCAAAAAAAAAACACACTAATGCTTATATCTAAAGCTGGATGACAGATTGGCAGCACAGAAACAGCAAGAGCATTTACCGTAGAGGAATGGGGAAAGGAGATCATTACAGATGGGTAAAAGAAAGAAAGACTCTACCTTCTTCCAGCTCCGACCAAAGCTCTCCTATGACATTTTCCACCAAAAAGGTGCGGCTCTGCCGGTTGCGCCGGACATGCTCCTTAGCTGGTTGTTAACAGAGAGAGAATGTTCTGGTGAGTGTGATGAAGGCGTGAAGCTTGGAAGTGTGAAGCTGCATATACAGTGGTGTGTGATGCAAGCGGCAGGCTGATGATTTTTATAATTACTATAGAACACATATATATGAGTATATACCAGTATAAAAGATGCAATCAATGCCTCTAGGACCATCTGTCACAGCAGGGTGACCAATCATGTTACTTAGTGAGAACATGCATTAAAAGTGACGGGTTTAAAACAGACATAGAACACCTGCCAGAGTGCCGCCACTCTAAACATTGATCAAGAACCTTTATCAAACCTTCATTTAACCTTGTAATTCTGAGTGAAATAATACATCTGATCTTCCAAACAAAACCATGCCAAGAAAGCAGTATCAAACCAGCAGGTTCATAATTCTACATTCATGCATTCATTCCTGAGGTTGACTGGCTAATAGCAGGAAGACCTGGCAGCAGTAAATGTCAGAGGGTCATTTCCTCCTACACAGAGGAAACAATACAGAGAAGGAAGGACAATTCTCCAACACTCTAATGAGCTTTGCAGAGGGCATGAGAGAGGTCTGCAGTTAACATTACGTCAACCTAACATTCCAATAAAAAGCACAACAGTTTCCTCACAAGACAGTTTTAAAGAATAATTTTCCTATAGAGCAGTTTTATTACAAAATCATTGTCACTGCAAATGTATAACTGTAACATTAATATATACAGTAAAAAGCAATATTAGCCAGGACATTGTCACACAGGACACATTACATAACAGATAACAACATTGCAGGGAAACATATTCGGTAGAGAATGCTTCAGTGGGAATGGCCAATATGGGAAAGTCAAAGGGAAACAGCAGCAGTAGGTTTAAAGTTGACTGTTCCTATTGTGTTCCCAAAAACACCTAAAGACTTGAGTTGAAAGAACTCTTCCTGTCTATCCTCCTCAGATCCATGTCACTGCAGCATTTTAACACATACTTCAGACAGCTCAGACCGAAGAAATAACATAACATCCATTCCCAACCTTGGGGTTGCCTGATATTCAAACAAGAAAAAAGATAAAAATATAATTTTTTTAATGATTAAATATTAAGGTAATTTTAAGAGTTAATTTTAAGTTTTTGGGGGGTTTTTTTGTTTTTTGTTTTTTGTTTTTTTTGTTTCTTTTATCACCTTTACTTGATAGGACAGCTGAAAACAGACAGGAAAAAGGCAAGAGAAGGAGAGGGGATTGAAATGGCAGCAAAGGGCCGCCCAGGTTCAGATTTTGAACCTGGGCCGCTACAGCAAGGCCTCGGTACATGGGTCGCCAGGCCTTTTCTAACCCACTGGAAAAAGCAAACGGGGTGCCCAGTTTTTCTTAAGTTTACTCAATATAAAAATTGGGTTTTTTTAAAAGGAAAATTACTTTCCAATGGATCGGTTGGCCAGAACTTCAATGAAAACCTTGACCTCCACAGACTGCATGATTGATAAACTAAACATCCAGCCCCTCAGTTTTGATATAAGCAATATATCTTAAGTTTTTTAAGGCTTAGAGATTAAAGAAGATATTTGGGATAACTTTCAGTATCGGCGTATTTGTTTTTTATGGGATATTGTAATCGATTCCTTCAAAAACCAAATCAAACTTTTGTGTTTTCCTCCAATTGCCTAGAATAGCAAAGTGTGTTAAGCATAAACTAAGGGTGTTATGTTGCATAGAAAGGTAAATTGTTTTGTGGTTGTTGGTTTTCTTTTACTTTAGTTTTAAAAAAATGGGATTAAAAGAATTACAATACGATCACATTTTGCCTAAACGTAGGTAAAACGTACAATAAAAACAGAATGCAATGATTTTTGGCAAATCCTTTTGCACATAATTCAATTGGTACACTACAAGACAATATTAATGTCAACACTGATTGAACTTTTTGTTTTTTTTTTGGCAAAATTTCACTCAATTTTTGATTTTGGAGCCTGCCAACAATTTCCGAGGGAAGGGGCAAACAAAAAGAATGGAAAGTTTGAAGGAAGTTTTTTTTTTTAAACACCTGTTGAATGTTTGGAAACAATTCCCACAGATGAACAGTTTTAATTTGAAAACAAGGTTTTTGAGTTTGTTTCATTCCCAACAGTTTTAGACAACGTTTTCATCAACGTACAAAGTTTGCAAGGAATTTTAAGATTTCATCAATCTTACGGCCCATAAAAATCATAAAAAATCAGAAGAAACTGGAGAATCTTCTTTTTTGCACATAAGCGGCAGGCGGAAACCAATTGAATGCCTGTGAACCTTTCGTCTCTCAGGTTGGCACTGCATTAAAACCGACAATCATTGGTAAAAAAGGAATATTACCACAATGGGCTCAGGAAACCTTCAGACCCTGTCAGTTTTACACAAGTTTTCGTTCTAACATCTACAAAGTCAAGTAAACTTCTAAACCATGGCCAAGAAGCAATTATTTCAAACAACAACCCGAAAACGCCGCCAAAGCTTCTCGGGCCGAGTCATCTTGAGATTGGACTGACGCAAAGTGGAAAAAGTGTGCTGTGGTCTGACGAGTCCACATTTCAAATTGTTTTTGGTAATTATGGACGTTGTGTCCTCCAGGCCAAAGAGGAAAAGGACCATCCGGATTGTGTTATCAGCGCAAAGTTCAAAAGCCAGCATCTGTGATGGTATGGGGGTGTGTTAGTGCCCATGGCATGGGTAACTTGCACATCTGTGAAGGCACCATTAATGCTGAAAGGTACATACAGGTTTTGGAGCAACATATGCTGCCATCCAAGCAACGTCTTTTTCAGGGACGTCCCTGCTTATTTCAGCAAGACAATGCCAAGCCACATTCTGCACGTGTTACAACTGCCTGCAGTCCAGACCTGTCTCCCATTGAAAATGTGTGGCGCATTATGAAGCGCAAAATACGACAACGGAGACCCCGGACTGTTGAGCCCACTGAAGTATGTACATCAAGCAAGATCATGGACAGAACTTCCTTATTCCTCCACAAAGCTTCAAAATTAATGTCCTTCAGTTCCCAACCACTTATTGAGTGTTGTTAAAAGGAAAGGTGATGTAACACAGTGGTAAACATGCCCCTGTCCCAGCTTTTTTGGAACGTGTTGTGAGACTCGTAGGTACTCATAGAATCCATTTTCATTCAGATATCTTGAGGTCAGAGGTCAAGGGATCCCTTTGAAAATGGCCATGCTAGTTTTCAATCGCCAAAATTTAGCCTAACTTTTAAGCATTATTTACATCATTTTAAGTGTTGCATACTTACGGTATTCCAATCTCAAAAAGATTGTTCTGAATTAGCTGCTTTCCCAACATGGTGATACTCAGCTGGATACATAGTTCCATCAAACAGCCTCCGTGAGCACACTGTAAAACAGTCCAAAACACAGCCCACAAGTAGGCCTGAAGCAAAATGACAACAAATATGTAAGGGTTTAAAGCTCTTAATAGAGCTTTATCAGCATGAGTAGCCATATGTAAGGGGTTTAAAGCTCTTAATAGAGCTTTATCAGCATGAGTAGCCATTCCAATTTACAGCATCTGGGACTAAAAAATAGCACTTTCTGTCAGTTTTCTTTTGTTACAGGTGTCAAGAAATGACAGCTTCCAATCCAATTCCTGTTCATATGTGTACTTGATGTGTAGGTTGATTGTCAGTGCATTATGGTGAACATACCAGTACTAGATGTCAGGTGAGGTAGCAGTCTCTTATGTCCAATATGTAACATTTAGGAAACTGAATATAATATTCATATGTATGTTTTTATTAATGTATAATCACCTGAATATAGGAATTGCTTTGTTTTTATTAGAATGAACCATTTTCATCTACAGAGGTTGTGTGTCTTCTTCTACATAGACCGCCATGTTGAACCGCCATGTTTCTACAATAGCCCAATGGACAGACCCAACACTGGACCTTTTAATATGGTGTGCAGTGCATCCCTAAAATGGTCCCTAGACACTGGCGAGGAATTTGGCTGTTTAAATAGTAATACTACCAACGCAGGGCAGAACACCTTGTGCGCCTGTGGAGCAGGTCTGTGTAGCCCCAGCAGGCGATCGAATGTGATTAACTGGAAAAAATTGATTAAAGCATAAGTTGAGCTCTAGATGAACTCTCAGCCTCATTTCAAAGAGATATACTAAGATAAACTGAGTTTCCTTGGGTTTTCTCCCCATAACTCCCCTTCTCCTCAGCATTCTCACAGTCCAACAGCTAACTAGCTAGCTAAACTATTTACTGGCATAGTAAACAGCATCAAAACTGGAAGGAACTCTTTCCGAGAATCATGACAACATTACATCGCGGCCCAATACTTGAGTGTGTAGATATGTTCTGAACTTTGGGAACATACTGTGAATTCCACACCTAAGTACAACTTATCTACAGGTGTATCTCAATAAATGAGAATATTGTACAAAAGTTAATTTATTTCAATAATTCAATTCAAAAAGTGAAACTCATATTTTATATAGATTTATTACACACAGAGTGAAATATTTCAAGCCTTTTTTTCTTTTAATTTAGATGATTATGGCTTACAGGAAGCATGAAGTGCTCTAAAATCTCGTACAAATTTCGCTGGTAGGATGGCTGCCATAAACTGTTGACTTGATAAAACCAAGGTGGAGCCCCGAACACCAGCCAGTATGAAAATGCAAAACTTTCTTTCCATCATTGAAAAGGACCACTGACGCAACCCGTCCAGTCTTTGTTCTCCTAGCTCAGGCTACCAGGACGCTTTCTGACAACTGTCTCTGGTTCAAAGAGGACAGTTGTACGCCCCATGTTCTGGATACACTGTGTCAGATGGTGGCTCTTGCGATGCAACTGACTCCAGCCTTAGTCCACTCTGTGAATCTACCCCACTTCTTGAATGGCCGCTGCTTCACAAACCTCTCAAGTCGCGCGGTTTATCCCTGCCGCTTGTGCACGACTTTTTCCTTCCCCGCTCAACTTTCTATGATATCTGCCTGGACTACTGTCGAACAGCCAGCCTTAATTGGTGCAATGTACCTTTCTTGTGGCTTACCCCTTCGTGGAGCGGGTGGCAATGACCGTCTTCTTACAACTGCAAGTCAACAGTCTTCCCATGATTTTGTAGCCTACTAAACTAGAACTTAGAGACAAAACATTTAAACGGCTCCAGGAAACCTTTGCAGGTAATTTGAGTTACTTAGCCTGATTAGAGTAGACCATCGTGAGTCCTACAATTCATTCGAAACTGATTACTAATATTTTTCTGAATACTGAATTTGGGTCTTTCATTAGGCTGTAAGACACTAATAAATCAAAATGGACATTGAAATGTTGTCACTCTGTTGTGTAATCGAATCCATATATTACGTTTCCACTTTTGAATTGAATTAGTGGAAATCATGAACCTTTCCTGACTTGGTTGTAGACAGTTTATAGGCTAGACAGTTTTTGACCTACCCACCAACCAAGATTCTGGCCAAAAAAACAAGAAAAAAATATCACAACCATTTCTCGTTGTTTCACTTAATGTATTTTGAATTGTACCCCAGCCAACATGCTACTTGCTACCATGTGTTATCTTGTCTGGGGCCCACTATCGACCTACATGTTCGTACACTACTTATACACTGAGTGACCAACAGCCTTGAATTCATGAACATTAACCACTTTCCAGTAATATCTAGCTTGTGTGTGTGTGTGTGTGGTGTGTGTGTGTGTGTGTGTGTGTGTGTGTTGTGTGTGTGTGTGTGTGAGGAGTGTGTGTAAGCTGTAATGTTTCCATTTCCATTGCTTTTTGTACATTAGCTCCCTCGGTTCCTTCCTAATGGCTAAGGAAGTCAATGCTAAGAT